TTATGATGATTACTGGTGGAATCAATAACTTGATTCTTCCTTCTATTGTCTTTTTAACAATTGAATTGTTCTTTTATTTGAATCACCAAACTTTTTGTTGAATTAGTTAAACAATAATTTTAGATTTAATTTGTCGTAATCAAACCTCGTGTGTTTAACTTCATTCTTGCATTTTTATACTTTAATAGATTCGCGAGCTTGCGTATTATTTTTAAAACAACATCAAGTTTTTGGTACCGTTACCAAGGACTGTAGTGGTACAATTAAAATTTAAAACTATTGTTTATCATAATTCGTAGTTATTTTGGTTACGAAAAAAAAAATCATTGCTAATTATTTTTGTATTGTTTAGTGTTATTCATTTACTAATTTTTATTTTTATTTATTTATTTATTTTTTTTGTTTCTTGGTTTTTATTTTTATTTTGATCTTTCCATTTTGGAAGCCTGAAAACTTGTGGAGAATTGCCAAAGTTTTGGGAAGGAAGTTGTGACTTATTAGATATCTATTTTAGAGTTGTGATTGATATGATAACTCCTTGGAAGACAAATTATTAAAATTATTTTATAATAAGGAATTAGATTTGAAAACTATATAAATAGAGATGGGATTAAGTACTAGGGAAGAGAGAGAGGAAATATGTAAAGTTTGAAAGGGTGAAAGTTTTGAGAAGAGAATAGAGTATATTTATTGTTGATGATGGATTCTGCAAAACCCGGATCTGATCTGACTTCTTGAATAAAGAGAAGAAAAAATGATCCTACAAACACCGGTGTGTTACCGGTGGAGTAGGCTCCGACGAATAAGTCAGTGTGAGAAGTAATCTCGCTGGAAAAATCAAGAAATTGAATTAGTATTTATTGCGTATCTCTAAACGTCGATTAACCCCTTCTATTTATAGGACTTAGGTCAGGATGTTACGTAAAGTTCCAGTCGTCTTAATCCTTATCGTAATCTGTAGGCCTAATCTTTATCTTAGCCTGTAATCCTTATCGTAATCTGTAATCCTTATCTTAGTCTGTAATCCTTATCTTAGTCTGTAGAGCCTATCTCAATCTTATAAGATAGCGCGTTACTTTAACAATCTTCCACTATCCACGGGTATTTAAATTATACATCCATCATATATTATTGTGGATGTAGCCCGAAAAAGGTTAATGAGTGAGTGAGTGAGTGAATGTGTGGAGTTTTGACATCTATAGTTGTATATTCTCTTCCTTGATACATAATAGTGAAATTTATCTTTACATGGATGTAATCCTAAAGTTGGGTGAATCATATAAAATATTGTATTGTGCGTGGATGTGTATGATTATTATCTCTATATATGATTGTGTAATTGATGATGTGATGATGATACTTCCACTGTGTGTGATGAATGAAGAATTTAACTTCCTAATTCTCAACAACTTGTATCAAAGTTAGTTGAAGGAGTTAATATCTCTAACACTTAGCACTTATTTGGGCACTCAAAATTGATTTTACAGAAGAATTCACTATTAAGCTTTCTTCAGCTTTTGACTTCCTATAGGAGATTGGAGGATCAGATGGAATCTTTTGAATCAAAACAATTGTTTAGAATGAGGTACCCCAATATGCTTTCATGGTTTTGTTTAGACTTGTTAGGTTATGAAATTATGATTTTGTTCCTTGATGAAAATCATTCAAAATGTCTATACAAATGAGTCTTTGACAAAATAGAATTATTTACAAGATATAACACCTTCTCTATGTATAATCAGGCATTTTTAATCCATTCATTTATTTAGTTACATCGTATTCAAATAAGGTCATTTCACTCAACTAATTTTACACACTCTACTAACATACCACAACTTGAGGTAAATCACGACTTTAATGTGAGTTGTGCAATGAAATAGGATGTGGAAGTTTGTATTAAAAATAACCTAAATGGGTGGTGAATAGGTTTTACTTGCTTCTTTAACCAATTTTTACTTATTTTTAATTTTATCGAAATAAATCTAAAATCATACCCACAAAACAAAAATAAAGTGCAAGTAAAACAAATAAAGTTTGAGAGATGATATTAGGATTTTTAGCGAGGAAACCCCAACTGGTGGAAATCAACCAATCGCTATGGAAAAAGCATTGTGGACTATGTCGTCAAGAGCAAAATGATACACTATGTTTGAAGTAAAGTACACTGAACTTTTACTGAGGCTCATACCTTATCGTTCTAGCAAACACCAATTGTTGACAATCCCTGTCTTTGCGACTCCCCCGTCCAACAGCTCTCGACCTCAGGCTTACTCTTGATATCTGTAAAAGGATTGCTAGTAGATCAAACTGTTGGAAAATGTGCAAGTTTTTTAAAAACTTTTGAGGGATTTGCAATCATAGATCTTGATTCATCACATAGAGACAAGTTTTACGCAAAAACAAATAAAAAATGATGTATCATTCAATAAACAAATTGAATACTTATATCAAATGTCTGAGTAAACCTTTTTAATCTTTCCTCTAAAGTGAATGTTCTCACTTATTGTAGATCCCTTTAGCAAGATCCTTTCTTCTTCTTCTTGATTATGATCTTCTCTTTAGGAATTACCAATATGCCTTGATGAATGACTTTGGAATCAAGGCTTGTGATAGCCTCCTTTAGAAGAGAAAACAAACCCTAAAATCTAGAGAGAGAAAGTATATTCCTTTTTCTTGTTCTGAAAGTCACACCTAAAATATACATGAACCCATGCATATATAGGCAAAATAAAAATAAGAAAAAGGAAACAAGAAATCATTCTCCATCTCTAAATCAAATTTCTCAATTCTAATAGGACTCCAATATTAACTTGGGCTATTGGTGAGAATCCTTTGTGTTTATTATTTTCTTGGCTCCTATAAATTAATAATTGGTCCGGTCCATTAAACCATGGACCCAATTCAATTAATTCATAAATTAATTTCTATTCCACTAAAAGAAATTAATTGCACTCTAATTAAATAGTAAATAACCTCTAAGTCAATGTTGCACTTTGACCCCTCTATGCATAATTATTTATCGGATAATTAAACCCATCAATCCGACAACATAATTAATAATTATTTTGTTACCTTTGATTATTTCCGGCTCGATCACAATAAAATATTTATTTGACAAAAATAATAATTTACTAAATAAATATATATAGAAAACATTTGTCTAAAACATACGAAGGCATTCGAATTTAATTTGTGATCAACCATAATCAAAACAAAATAAATACAAAAAGTACTGATGCAAATATTGAGAATACAGACCTCTAACTATTAATTACATAACTACCCAAAGTGCCGATCTAAGGATTCCGAGATATCCGCCGAACAAATCAAAGTAATTATTAATTAATAAAAGAGCCTATACTTCTCTCATGCTTGATAGTCAAAAGCCATGACTGTGATAGAGAGCAATTACATACGACAGCTCTTGCAATATATCTCAATCTATCGTAGACTCGGTTCAAGTCTTAACTAATTAAATGTCCATCCATAATTACCGATTTTGAACCATTTATGATTACTAATTTATAACTTAGTATTAATTGTCATTACATACATATATAAATTTATCTTGTATTCAAGTGGACACAATCAATTCCATAATGAATTGAAAAATAATACACTCCATTCACCAATTGTATAATGCTTTAATAATAATATTCAGATAAGGAACCATAACTTTTACAATCCAAAATAATAATTTGCTATGCTAGGGCACACATATTCCAACACAAACAACACTACATGAATGCTTTGACCCCTTTAAAGTGTGATGATCGCTTCACCCCTTTTCTTCAGATCTGAATTTGATGAACAATGAATGAATTATGCTTTTCAGAATTTCTGAATATTTAATTATGCTTCAATTTCGATGAGAATAACACTCCTAAATCATTCTTGTGTTTATGTGTGTGCTCTCAAAAATAAAATCAGAAAATTCAGATTGATTTTCTGAATAAAAATCTCTTTCAAACAATTCTCTCAATTAGAAAATATATATTTTCAAGCTCTAAAATTTTAAGTGAGAAAACACGTTTTTATAGATTTTTGAAAACCTAATTGTACTTGGAAAACAAGTCAATTTCGTGCATAATTAATATGGTAAAAGTATAATTAATATGGTAAAAGTCTATGCACAATAGGAAGCCAAAACAGATCACGAAATTAAGTTACCAAAACTGTCTGAAGATCTTGAACCTGTTCAGAGTGGTTGAACCGGTTCAAGTTGGCTAGTGAGCTTTCGAAGAAAATAATTTTTGACACTTGAACCGGTTCAAGTTGGCAAGTGAGTTTTCGAGGAAAACAACGTTGATACGTGAACCAGTTCTTTAAGTTGGCCAGACTTGAAAAATACTAATTTTGAAACTCCAAAGTTTCCTCACACCTTCTTTTACCTTCCTAAAGTATTGTTCTCATCATTACAGAATGTACCGAAGTATGAACACGATCACTTCTTTCAATTCTGCTTCCGATCTTAATTTTGACAAATCGAACTAAAAATTCACAACCTAGTCAGATTCGTTTTGACAACAAAATATATGGATTACAAATTTATTTCACATTTAGTAGTCTAATATTACATTTTGGATTTAGCCATGTAATGAATCCAACTCGCCCCAAATACAATTGGATGAAAACATTTCACCCAAAATTCCCAACCCCACCCCAAAAAAATTGATGGAATTTTAAAGAAGGGCTCCGCCCGCCGAATAACAAAGTACAGGGTTCCTTTTTTAAACATATCCAAGCCAACCTTAGTGCTTCCCGTGTTAGATTAAGACAGGTGGGACTAAAATGATCTTTACTGTAGTCCACGAAGAATGGGAATTTCACCAGACCGTATCAGTGAGTCAGCACTTATTAACTATTTGGTACAGTTGACCAGTTCTTGCATCTAATGATTACGTAATGCAGACTTCAGCTCCGGTCGCCTCTCTGCTCGGTCGCCACGCGTTCCGTGTGGGCCCAACCACTCTCTCTCTCTCTCTCTAGACACTCTCTCTCTCTCTACCCAATTTACTTCCTACCTTCTTCCCATGTTTCCCACTCACATCTCTCTTCCCCTGTCGCGCCAGTTGTGAGACGGCTTGGGGATCTATCTCCGTATCAGCTCCATGAGAAACATGTCTCCTAGCAAGCTCAATTCCAATGTATGAACTCTCTCTCTCTCTATAGCTTTGGGTTTTTAGTTTTATTTATTTTGTCATATATTTACTTCAGCCTCATTATTTGTTTGGATTCATTAATTTTCCTGAAATTAGGGTTTGAGTCCGTCTATTTATTTATTATTTTATTTTATTTTTTATTTTTTTCTGACTCAAATTCTCAGTTCTTTTGAGTGGTTAATCATAGATAGCCCCCTAATTAATTTTTTCTTTTTATGACTGAAATACATATATATATACACGCACACATATATAATGTAGAAGGTGAATTCCCTCTGCATGACTTGGCATTTTGTTCAATCCATTTTTTATTTTATTCTCTATAGATATATCTTCAGTTTACTGTAGTATTTGAGCCTTGTTTTGCTTAAAATAAACATATCCATTGAATTACCAAAATTGGAAGTTTTAATTCAATAACAAAGTAGAGTGATGAAGAAAATCAGTCTATTTTGCTTTGTAATTCAGGAATATATATTGTTTAATTTTCAGAAATTCATTGTAATTCAAGAATTGCATTTGTTTATTTCATGGAAGGATCAAAATGCTCTAACTGCTAACAAGTGTGGACTGTGTGGTTGTATTTGTTGAATCAGAAGCATTATAGGGACTGGTTTTAACCCTAAGTTAGATTTTGTATGAATAACTATTACTCATTTCCACAGCCTTAATTATAGTTACCTTAGGTCAGGTTGGAATGCTGTTAAAAAATGAGAAACATTTGTATTTTTAATTATATAAGAATAAAGAAGATATTATTGGATATGTGGAAGTTGTATACTTAAGGTTTAATGTTATTTATTTATTGTTACATGAAAACTTGCTTGACCTACAAGTGTTGAATAGAAGGAACCTTGGGGCTGTTTATCGGATGCCTATGGATGCTGTTTCTTTTGTAGTGTTAAAACTTTAATGAATTTCTATGTTTAAGTAGCAAGTTACCAAGTCAATGGTTTCCTAATTTATAAGATGGCAGTTATATTCAGGAAAAAAAAGATGGCAGTTGTAGGCTTAGCCAAATAATCAGTAAATTTTCTAGCGACCATTTTTTATATGTTAAACAAATAATTGAATCAACGTGATGGCCGCAGCCACCCACTGCACAGCTGCAGGCAACATGTCTCGTCTCTTGCTGTGTGTGCGCATGTGTGTGTGTGTGTGTGTGAGATAGAGAGAGAGGTTTTTGGAGGTAGTCATGGAGGGAGAGAGAGATGGATTGTCAGAATAAGGGTTATCCCACTCATTCCAAAAGTTATCATTAGGGGCATTTCGGTCATTTGCTAAGTAAGATATATATATTTTTTATAAAGCATTAAAAATGAGGGTGTTTCTAACATTTCACGTGGTGCTTTTACTGCCATTACACCGTTAACTTTGACGGGTGTTTCCGTAGGTTTCTTCCAAACATTACATCATTCTGTAATTAGGCCTTAGTAGCCTTACCTCAGGAGTGTCAATGTAATTAATCCTAGTATTTTATTTCTATTCGCTGCACGAGGAAAAATTCAAATTACATGCTGTTCAGTTACATGTGAAATTTATTATTGAACATACTATAACTCATGTCTAAGTCGAACCATATATTTAATAGTTATTAACTTATTCTAATGAGTATCAGGACGTCTTTTTCGTTCTTTTTTTTTTTTTTGGTCCCCAATCTAGCCTCTTTATTATGCTTATTGTTTGATGGGCTTCTTGTCAACAGGGAAATGCTAGTGTTTCACAACAGGATAATTGCTCTGTTGATTCACTTTCACTCTTAAATTCTGAGAAGGCAGTGCAGGAACTTGTTCAAGAACCTCTTCTTCAGGGAATTGATGATCATCTGATAGAGTTCTCAGAGGCTATGAGAAGTATGATCTGGATCTAATCCTTGATTTTTATTTTTATCTTCAATGAAACCTTTTGCTGTATCTATGAATCTGGGTTGCAAGGTTTTCAACTTGATGCTTATATGTTATTATTTTCCTCACTCATTTTAGCTGTTGCAAAGGCATTGAGACGAGTTGCAGAAGCAAAGGCTTCTGCTCAAGCTGAGGCAGCTGAATGGAAGCGTAAATATGAATTGGAGAGGGCACGGTATCAACAGTTAGAGAATAAAGGTTTTAATGATTAAACAACATGATTATTAACTTATCTCTCTAACTATCAATTCAACGTGTATATGTTATGTTATACCCATTACACGCATTGGGTTTTTGCAAATAAAATTATTGATGATGTTATATCCATTACACACATATGTTGTTAAATGATTGTTATTATTTCTTTGCATCCTCAGATCTTAATTGTTTTACCTTTCTTTTCTGACCCATTTAACCAAATCACTATGTCAGTGTGATACAATGGTTGGACTTCATTGCATTTAACTGAATGTAAGGATTAGCCTATGGTCTGCGGCACAAAACCAGCTCAGGGTGCAGCCCTGCCCATTTGGTGGACTGGCCTGGCACAATCTGCTAGCTAGGTAGGCTGGTCATGGCTTGAAATTTAGGCCTGTTGACAGTCCACGAGCCAGGCCCGTAGGCCCACTCAATTAAAAAGATGTAAATATGTAATAGTATATATTAAAAGTATATTGAGTTTTAATAGTAAATACTGTAAATATGTAGATTATGAATTATAATAGTTTATGTTATTATAAGTTATGAATCATTCACACACACTAACTCATACATATATGTTCATATGTCTAAGATGTGGACTTAAACATGTACAGAAATTAAGTTGTCGAGACAAAAGTCTTAAGACATGTGTTGTACTAAAACATGTCAAAAATATATGAAACAGTCACAATGAAAAGAAAAGAATATATTGTGATGATGACAAGTGTCATTAGAAGGCATTCAAATGGGAAACGTATCCCAAAAAGCTACTCAAGACTGCCGCCCAAACAAAAAAAGCCACCTTTAGAGGGGTCTTTCGGTGCCATACAACCTTCCAGGGAAAGGAGGCCCTGTAGCATATGTGAGACTCCTATACAAAGAATGAATCTCAAACCTCCCCTAAGAAGAGGCCCCCCCAGACCCAGGTATCGTGCCCTCCCCCATCAACCTCAAACTTAATGATGTCCTATGAAAGTGAAAATAATTGAGAAAGTTCACCACAACTGTATTCATTCCAATAGGGGTTTTATATGTCTGTTACATAAAAGTGAAGCCTAAAACTAAGGATAAATGTAAGCTAAACCTATAATTAAGCCTAAACATATGTAACAAAATATATGCAAATATACAAGCTAATATGTAGTCTTAGTCTAAGGGAGCTGTCCAAAATAGCCTATAATTAAATCTAAACATATGTAATAGAAGATATGTAAAGATCAACCCTAAATCTAATGGGGCTTTGTAACACTCCCCCACAAACTTAACCATCTAGGGGGACGAGTTTGGAACGCAGAAGCTCAAAGCGATGCTTGTGAAGCCCCTTAGTGAAGATATTTGCAGTCTGGGTTAGCAGAAGGAACAAATTGAACATAATGGCTACCAGAGAGAACAAGTTCCCAAATGAAGTGATAATCAAGTTCAATATGCTTGGTACGAACATGGAAGACAGGATTGGATGCCATGTGAGTAGTGCTGAGGCTGTCATAGTAGAGCATAACTTGTGTGGACGGAGGCACATTAAGCTTACGTGGAAGGTGTTGTATCCAAACGGTTTCTGCACAGACTTGAGCGAGTGAGCGGTAATCAGATTCAGAACTCGAACAAAGAACTATAGGCTGTTTCTTAGCACTACAAGAAATGAGATTCGGACCCAAGAAAAGACAGTAGCTAGAAGTGGAACGCTGAGTATCAGGACAACCAGCACAATTAGCATCAGAGAAGGCATGAACGACTAAAGCACCAGAGGAGGGGCGAAATACCAATCTAAGATCCAAACAACTTTGAGATATCACAGAATGCACTTAACAGTAGTAAGACGAGTGGTCCAAGGGGCACTCATAAACTGACCAACATGATAAATCATAAAGGCAATGTCTAGACAGGTAAGAGTCTGAAGAGATCCAACTAAGCGGCGATACTCAGTAGAGTCCGAAATTGGATCACCTCTAGGGCAGGGAGTTGTGTCATGGCACTTAAGGGGGTACTACATGGTTTGCACTGAGATCAACAGTTGATCGAGTCTGAGAAAGATGTAGAACATAGCGCAAAAGGGACACCTCATGGCCAAGAAAGTAATGAAGAGGACCGAGATCCTTTATCTAAAACTCTGTGTGAAGAGTGGAGATAAAGGATGAGATCAATGATGGTGTGTTCCCAGTGAGCACAATGTTGCCCACATTCAATAATAAAATCATCATCTAAGAAGAGCATTGAAATACTAACATACAGTGGTCAGCGCAACTCTGTGTAAATCCATACCGGATGAGGAAGGAATTAAATCGCTGGAACCATGCACGAGGTGCCTGTTTGAGCCCGTAGATGGCCTCCTAAAGCTTAGAAACAAGGTAAGGCACTAGGGATCAACAAACCCTGTGGGCTGATCATAAAAAATGTCTCTTGGAGAAAACCATGCTGGATGGCATTCTTGACATCTAACTATCGTGGTGACCATTCAGAAGACATTGCCAAGCTGAGAATAGTATGAATAGTGGTAGGCTTAACCTTAAGGCTGAAGGTCTCGTCATAATCCAAACCATGTTATTGATGGAAGACCTTGGCCACATGGCAGGTTTTGTAAGAAAGTCGGTTCACCAACCATGCTCATTTCAAAAGTATTACTCATATTTTTAGCAAAATCATGAACAAGGTTGTCACAAGTAGCACCAAAAACAATATCATCCACATAGATTTGAGCAACAAGGAAATCTTTTCCTTTCCTGAAAATAAACAATGTTTTATCCGCTCCACCTCTTGAAAGCCCTTGTGCAATAAATAAGAAGTTAACTTCTCATACCATGCTCTAGGTGCTTGCTTTAAACCATAAAGAGCATTTTTAAGATTAAAAACATAATTAGGATTATCTGGATCAATAAAACCTTTTGGTTGTGCTACAGAAACTTCTTCCAGCAAAATACCATTAAGAAAAATACTTTTTACATCCATTTGAAACAATTTGAATTTAAAGTGACTTGCAAGAGCAAAAAGAAGTTGAATAGACTCAAGTCTAGCAACAGGTGCAAAAGTCTCATCAAAATCAATTCCTTCAACCTGTTTTAAAAATCCATTCGATCCCTATGATATTAACATCACTAGGTCGAGGCACTAATTCCAAAACATCATTTTTCACGAATTGAAGCAACTCTTCTTGCATAGCCATAAGCCAATCAGAACTTTGAAGAGCTTCATCAACATTCTTTGGTTCAAACTGAGTCATGTGACATGAGTGTCCTATATCATCTACAATGCATGAGTGTCCTAACTGATTATGGACTGTACTCCTAGTACCCGGTTTATCCCATGAACCTATTACATTGTCAACTGGATGACTCGATCAAACCCTAGAACTACTAGATGTGGTAATGTTTAAAGAAGGTGCAGGAATTCCTATAGGTTCATCAGTGGTGACCTCTAATTCCTCATCAAGTTAAGTAGAGATTACCTTAGGCCTTGTATCATCAAACACAACATTTGTTGACTTCATAACAACTTTGGTTCTAAGATTAAAAACGACCCTATAAGCCTGACTTGTTTGTGAATAACCCAAAAATACACCTTTATCACTCATAGAGTCAAATTTTTCCAAGTGTTCCCTATCTCTAAGGGTATAACATTTACTTTTAAAAACTCTAAAGTATTTAACAGTGGGCTTTCTATTATACCACAATTCATATGAAGTTTTTCTAGTTCTAGGCCTAAGATAAACTCTATTTAGGATATGACAAGCAATGCGTACTGATTCTCATGAAGCATAGTACGAGCCATACCTGCTATTGTCCTATTTTTCCTTTCCACTACACCATTCTGTTGTGGTGTTTTTGGTGCTAAAAATTCATGCTTAATGCTAAACTTTTCACAATATTCAATAAACTCCTTAGGTTCGAATTCACCTCCATTATCGCTCCTAATCCGAGTAATTCGATATCCCTACTCATTTTGAATTAGTTGGCAAATAGACCTGAAATTCACAAAAGCATCATATTTTTCTCGCAAAAATGCAATCAATATAAATCTAGAAAAATCATCAACCATAGCAAGCATCTTTTCCTCCAATGCTATCTGGTGTTATACGACCCATCAAATCCATATGAATCAATTCTAAAGGTCGAGAAGTGACTTTATGAATAAGTCTCTTATGTGACACTCTAGTTTGTTTTCCTAATTGACACAGACCACATATTTCATTCTTAGGCATTTTCAATTTAGGCAAACCTCGAACAAGATCATTATTAGACAAATTCACCAATTTATTAAAATTCACATGACCAATTCTTTTATGCCATAAAATTGCCTCATCAGTAAGTGCAGAAAAACATACAAGTGAAGGATCTGAAAACACAATATAGCAATTATCAGAAGTTCTAGTTCCTTTCAAAACACATTCACCTTTTTCATTAGTTACATAACACCCTTGTTGAGTAAAATTAACTTGAAACTTCTCATCACAAATTTGACTAATACTCAACAAATTAGCAGCTAAACCTTTAACATATAGAATATTTTTTAACTCCCCAATTCCTGAAAATTTGATCTTACCTTTACCGCTTACACTAGAAGTATTACCATCACCAAAAGTAACAGTTCCAACTGAGCATTCTTTAAAAGTGGTAAACAATGTTCTATCCCTTGTCATATCCCTAGAGCAACCACTATCAAAGTACCAACCACATGGACCTAGTGCTCTAAGTGCAGTGTGCATGACAAGGCATTTAAAATTCTCTTTCTTTACCTAAACTATTTTAGATTCATTATGCAATGATTTCTCTATTATTCTAGGCAAAGTGTCACAAGCCTCAGAAGTTTTTTTCATTCTCTTCTTTTTATTAGAATTCTCTAGATTTTTCAATTTCTTTCCAATTTCAAATTTTATTTTCTGACACCTATACTTGATATGCCCTTTTTAACCACAAAAATGACAAGTTGAAATAAGTTTGGGAGAGCTAGTGATAACACAAGGCTTGGTTTCAACTTTCACAAAAACATCTTTAGATTTGAAAATA